TGAAAAAAACTGATTCACAGTTGTTTTGACATATGCCGCGGATAGGTACATTTTCAAGTATAGCATTAATTTAGAGACCGATTGGTATTGGCACAATCTGACTTATTATAGTTATCTAATTAAACTTTTTATTAAACATTTTAAAATTATTTAAATGGAACTAAATTTCCGCTAATTTGTATTTTTAAGGGAAAAAAATTTCCACGTGGTGAACAGATTTTACTCAGAGTTTTCGTTTGGTTTCAGAAAAGCAGATGGATGGATACCAATCTGATGATAAAGTATGTTGATTATATCAAGGACCTGATCAATAATGACCCAGCAATTATTGTATATGATTCATTCAGAGGCCATTTAGAAGAATCCATTAAGAAAAAATTTCGAGATCATGGTTTTGATATAGCGATCATTTCCGATGGTCTAACCAGCATATGTCAACCATTGGATGTTACAATTAATAAGCCTTTTAAGAACAATCTACGCAAAGAATGGCATTTATGAATGGTAGAAGAAGGAGCCAGAATGACTACAGCAGGCAACCTTCATCATGCAAAACTATCCGATATTTGTGGATGGGTAAAGTGGGCTTGAGAAAGGATTCCAGATGAAATGATTATAGAATTATTTAAAACCTGTAAGATATCATCATCTTTAGATGAATCAGATGATGAAATTAGTGAAAATGACGACATTAGTGATGAATCTGATGATGATATCGTTGATGAATCTGGTGATGATATTGTTAGTAATGATGATATTACTGGTAATGATATCATTGATGATGGTAATAGTAATAAAGAGAAATAGCGAAATGATAATTACTAATCAATTTTTTTGTATTACAATAGAATTTTATGGGTTAATTAGTTAGCATTGACATTGCTGAAACGAATGGTTATTCAGATGGATGTTATAAAATCATATAATAATTTGCAAAGGATCGTAAGATCCCAAAATTGTAATAAATTTTATAATAAAAATACACAGAAATTTTATTATCAATGTTATTTTTATTATTTAGTTATTAAATTATTTATAAAAACTTTTAAAAAAAAAAAATTATAATTTCAGAAGGGTGTTTATTTTCAGATCCGAATCAATTTAGAAGGTGCTTATTTTTGGGGGACGCTTATTTTCAGAATAGTACAGTATTCTAAAGGATCTTTCATTCCAAGAACTAAAAAATTCTCGCAGTATTAATGATATGTGAGCAAAGGAGACAGATCTTGAACGAACCAAAAGAAAGACTCTTTTCAATTTTCGTACTATGTCATTGGTTTAAGATGAAAATACAGTCAAGGATTTTTATTTGAAGCTGGAAGAGTGTAACAAGAGTTTCGGCTATAGTGAAAAATTCTTTAAATGCATATTATTAAAAGGATTATCACCCAAAAATAAGATTAAAGTTTTAATGGATGGTTTACAAGCACTTGCATTAGATGAGATACTGGAGAGGCTGAAGCAGGCTAAGAGGCACTTTACATGATCGTATAATTTCCTCAGCCGAAGGCACTCAGGGTAAGGTGCTTTGCTATTTTTTGTTTAAAGATATAACATATATTATTTATGGTGCAATCAAGTATTTTTAATATAGTAGAAGTATTAGAACAAATTTTATATTTCTTAGCGGTAGATAAGTCTCTCTATCCCACTTTATTTGTTTGCCGATTGTGGTATAGATGCAGTGCTCCTATTATATAGAAGCGTATTGAACTAAAAGGAAAAGACTTATATCCTAGACAATCTCTTCTAAATGATTATAATTACTATGCAAAGGATCACTCTCAATTAAATAAATTCATAAGGATAGGATGTGCAAAGGATCTCTTTCGATTGAAAAAATTCATAAAGCTAGTACATAGGAAGAAAATGCTGGTTTATTGCTCAAATGTAACTCATCTCGAAATATCATATTACTATTCACTTTCAGATAAAAAAATCATAAGCATTGTATATTCATGCCCAAATATAATCCACTTGAGTTTTATAAATAGCATAGGATTTAGTAATAGAGCATTAGAACTAATAGCGGGTTCATACCTGAATTTGAAGTATCTCGATCTGTATGATGATTGGTTAGGTGGCTTTAGGAGCTTTCGTACTCAAGAAGTATATGATCTAAATCTATGGAAAATTGCACAGTCATGCCATAAATTAGAATATCTAAACATTTCATACTGTACAGAGTTTCTTGAATCATTGATTTGTAATATTATTTGTTCCTGTCCAAAGTTCCAGCATCTTAGTCTTAGATTTTATCGAATTACCGATATAACTATCAAAGAAATTGTTAGTTCGTGTTTTAATTTAAAGTATCTCAATTTGGAAGGGTGTAGTAATATTAACAAAGAAGCTGTAAATCAGCTCATTTCTCTTAATTCAAATATCCATGTTGAGAATTTCGTGCTGATTCGAGTACCTTCCCAAAATAATGGAGCCTTAGATGTGATCCATGAACTCGCAAGGCAACTGGGAATACTACATGGGTTGATTATTAGGAAAATCAGGTTCCGGGAATTTTTTAACAAAATTGAGATTTTTATTGCATTTTAGTTTTTGATGTTATTAGATTAAAATGCATTAAGCTCTTAATTTTAGTTAAAAATTTCTCAGAACCTGATTTTCCTAGAAATTCTCCCACATGATGTATCAAGAGATGTTGCATCCTTAGATAATTTTATCAATGACGAATTATCAAGAAGATTGAGTGAACGCTGTATTCTAGCTAGACCATTGCTTCGGAATGGTGGTCAGTTATATAACACCCAGCATAATGTTGATAATAATTAGAATTCAGTCATATCTCAGATACACCAGCAACCTAACAGACGATCGCCAAGGATTTATTTTGATAGAATACTAGCCGATCAAGCAGAATGGTGGTACTCTACTGATTTAACTAATTCAGAGCAGTGATCACCAGCTCAGAAAAACTTGCTGAGCCACGGATTGTGTGATAAAAAAATATAGATTAGCTAACCTGTTCTAGACATGGGCACTGTCTGGTGCTAGATGAATTTTTGACGAATATTTTGTGCAATTATTGAGGAGAGACCTTCAGAAATAATAGAAGCCCTTCTCTGGTAAAATAAAATATTTTTACCCTATCGATGAATTTCTGTATTAGCACACTTGAAACATCTTCTAAGGGACCGTGAAACTTCTCAAACTTTTGAAGATATACTCTTGTATTTTTATCAGCCTCTTCTGCCCTTTCTTGGTTAGAATAACCAACAATATCAAGCTCTTCTTAAATTGCTATTATATCTTCTTCTAAATATATAAGCAAATTAAATATCTCCCCCAATGAAATATCTGTAAAAGCTTCATTGCTTTGATATTTCACTTTTAGAACAGGATTACCATTAATGTTAAGATTCTCCTGTATCAATATTAAATCTCCTACCAATTCTAGCAACAATTCATATGAATCAGCAAGTGTTTTCCCCATGAGCTCAAAATCTGGAGGCACTGCTAACTGATTTACATTCCCACTAATACCGAGTTTTTTCTGAATAGCTATTATATCCTTCTTCTTATATAAAAACAGTCTATATAATTGAGCAAGTATTTTGGGATTATTTGCCATGATTGCTATAATAAAGTAACATATTTAATGTGGAAAATTTCGAGTCCGAAATACTGATCATCAACTGGAGCAATGATTATCAGCTCAGAAGAATTTGCTGAGCCATGCACAGCACCTTCAGCCAGATTGTGCAACAAAAAATAAGTGGATCATCACTCAAAAAAATAAAACATTTTCACTTCCCTCTAGACTGTGCCTTCAGCAGAAAATAGTTTAGGTGTGTTAATACCCAGGTAAGAAACCATCAGAAGTTTTGAAGATACGCTTTTGCATTTTTATTGGCTTCTTCTAATCCACTTATTTCCTGATCATAATAATTGATAATACCAAGATGATTTTGAATCATACTTATATCCTTTTTCAAATATAAAGCAAATGATATAATGTCTCAAGTGACCTTTTCCCATATGTTTCTCCCTCAAGATTATGCATATTATTATATAATATAGTAAGAACAAGGTGGCAATCCACATTGAGATCTCCCTGTATTTCTATTAATTCCCCCACCAAATCAAATAACAGCCCAAACGAATCTTCAAATGTTTTTCCTTTTTTTGTTTTGATTCAATGCTGTTTGATTTCTACTCTTAATAGGTCCCTTCCCCCAGACTGGATCTATACCGAGTTTTTTCTGAATAGCTATTATATCTTTCTTCTTATACAAAAGCACTTCATAATTGAGCTTCGCTTTGATCAGAATTATTATTAGTATTTCTTGTTATGATTGTGTTTATCTCTGGTTAGCATATATTCAATTTTGTGTCTGAAATACTGATTATCAACCTGGAATAGTGATCATCAGCTCAGAAGAATTTGCTAGGCCACTTCTGTGCAACAGAAAAATAAGTGAATCATCAGTCAGGTCTTGTGTGATATATTAATTTTGCATATACATTTGAAAGAAAACATATTAACCTTTATTCTCTATTTTTTTTCCATATAAATATGAGAAAAATGTGAAAGAAAGTCTAGACGCAACACAGGACCAACTTTAAAAGTAAATATTAATGGCAAAAGTATATATTATGAAGGGCTAACTGATACTGAATATGATGCAATTCATACGAATCAAGAAGAAATTTTGTGCTGATACTACTATGAAAAGAAATTTATAACTCAAGTTAATAAAGTTACTAAAGGTAACAAAATTGGTGAGAAAAAAGCGAAAGGAATTATTTATAATAAAATATTAGAGGATCTTTCCATGTTATGAAAGCAACAATCTGAAGAAACGGGTTTACAACTCCCAGAAATCACACATAAATACTTGCAAGGGAAAACTCAGAAAGCTGTAAAGATATATAATTTATTTGAAAAAGTAGGTATAGATAAAATTAAGTATATTATAACATATACTGCAAATGCTATTTCAGAATTGACTAATGATAAACTTCAAAAGATCATAAAGGCCCTAGAGGGCGGGATAATTGTTCACTCTGTGAACACCCAAAGGAATTGCATCACATGTCACCAAAAGATGAGTCTTCAATTTCTGAAATTTTCAAAAAAATCTTGCCTGAAGTAAATGCATCAACTACACCCATGCCAGCTGAGAACATCTCTGCAAAGCACTTTAATGGCAATTCTTCAGATAATTCCTCTAAAATCAGTTCAGTAGCTATGAGTACATCATCTGTGCCTCAAATAAATGAATCTAACCAATCCAGACTTCTGTTTTCTATCTTGCCTGAATATCCTAAAGAGAAACGAAAACATATCATTGGGTTGGTGCTAAAGAAGTTTTCTTATCTATCTTTAGACGATAATGATGAACATCATGACACATTTAATCTTGATGATTCAACACTCTGTCTTTTATATAATGGAGACCATAAAGTAAATAGAAGTATATTTGATGAAATAAAAGGTGAATGGGTGATGGTGAGTATTACGGAGAACAAACTTATCGTCTCAAATACAGGGAGTCTTTTAAACCTAGAATCCTAGTAGTATTTGTAATAACATAGACAAAAACTTCGTCATGTAACCTGATCACCTGAAATGCACAGAAGATATCAGAATATCATGCGCAGTAAGTATGTTATCTCTATACTTCTCCTGTGATTTAACTACGCTTTGTGCTATTTATGCAGTGCTCTTATTTTTATTTTTAGATGTGCTATTTTTGTAATAATGGAATCAGGTCCAAGGTCTTATGAAATGCCGTCATATTTTTGCAAATTTATGGGGTTAGATCGTGGGGATAGATCAATAAATAATTAATCCATCGACTTTTTTTTCAGAAAGTTCTGGTGTAATACACATATTATGAATCTTTGATTTAGCATTACGCAGATTAATCTGACGTCCCTGATATTAGAATGAGATAAGAATTGGAATTGAACGTCTTGATCTACCGATTTACAAATCTCAACCACCTTTTTTCTCATATAGTTCAAAAAAGAAATGTGATGCAAAGTAATACACTTTCAGAGTTTTGGAAAAATCAACTGTCACACTAATAAGGATTTACATGTCATACATCTCATATATCCTTCTTGTATCATATGTTAGAATGAAAATGGAAATTGAGCGTTCGAATCAAGAATAAACGGTAGATTTATTTTCTTTATTAGCATTAGCTTAACATTACGTATACTCATTATTTCATTTTTGATAATAATTTCTAATATAAAATTAGGTATTTCGAAGATGGTATGAATATTATTACATTGATCAGTTTCTCCAAAACATCAGATTTTCTTTTAAGCGCTATTATTACAATTCAGGGGAGAGACATTTGTTATTATTAGACGGGATTCAGGCCGTGACTTTAGGTGAAAAAAATATAATTATGAAAAATGTAGTTATGATGAATATACATAATAAAGCAACGTAATTTTTTATTTGATCTATTTAAATTGGGTTAAATTCTCTTTTTGCGCATAGTAGACATACAGTATAAAATAAACCTTTTTTCCAGTGTATTTACGCAAGAGATTGCATATTAAAAAAGTATATCTAAAAAACTTGATCCACCAATAAGATCTCTTAATAAAATTACTATGCCTAATTATGTCCAGTTTATCATTGCTTAACTCTTCAGGAGTCATGTCTTTTTTGATCTTAACCACTGTTTTTCTGTTCATTGGTCCAGTGTTAATCATGGGGATCGCTACTATGTGATCAAATCTCAAACAAAAAATTTCTGATGAACTTTTTGCATATGTCATCAAAATTCTCATTGATCTTGGTATACTAAATAATATACCAGAAATCAGAAAGAGGTCACTTCATGACCAGATCTTTACTATACTTAATGATAAATTTGACACATGTATTTCTGATATTAATTCTATTTCACTGCGAAGCTTGATAGAATCAATAATGATCTTAATAATAAACTTATCACGGAAGCCGAAAAAACAAGGCATGTGATGATAACTTCACTAAGGAGGCGCAGAAAATTTTTTTAATGATCAATAATATAATTACAAAAGTTAATAATATCAAAGAAGCCTGCCGTAATGAATTTGGCAGAATTAATGTTGTTATCAAAAATCTTCAAAACAAAATATATTAACATTACGTAATAGTTCAAAGATCCAATTTTGACTAACAAAGTGTGTCCAATGAATCTGAAGCTAATTCGACCAATGAATCTGAAACCAATTCATCTTCAAGCTTTTCTTCTGAAAGTTCCAATTTATCTGGAATTTTAGATATTACTGAAGACATTAGAATCTGCTTTAAAGAACACTTTGATCGGCTTATAGAGACGAGGAATTATACTTTTGATGAGATGTGCTTCTCAGTAGTAGTTGATATTTGTAGTCTTGGAGGAAATATTAAGATTGCAACAGTAGAAAATTTTATAATAATATTAGAGGTAGTAAAGTTAGCACAATTAATCAGATAAACGCATGGGTAGCTAGTTTTAGGTAATAGGAGGGAACAGCCATCTTATGGGTTGGGCTTAGCAGGCATTTATGCTTTATTCCTCTATAATATCTTTTTTTTCGTTCATTCTTACCTAGCTGAGCCTCTAGCTTTTCTTTCTCAATATAATTGTATTACTTTACAAAAAATACAATAAAAACCATTTTTAAAAACTGTAATGCGTATTTTATGAATAATAACACATGCGAAAATTCGTCATGTGATTTAACATCGGCCTGTGGAGTATTAGTTATCACACATGACCAATTTTTATAGCTTTGCTCGAAACCCTCGACTAGATCTTCATGATGCGATCATCTAAAGGTATATTTTGAAAGCCCTGTCGATTTTAGACCTAGTGTAAATTATATAAAAGGTGTCTGCCCTAATTAATGAATCTTTTATCGCCTTGTGCAAATAAAAAAAATGAAAAATTAAGCGAAACATTCAAACTTATCATAATTTACATCATCGATATTTAAACAAATTCATATATTCCGTAAAGTAATAATAAGGTAGGGTTGGGTTTATTGCTCAATTAGTTTCTTTAAACATATTATCACGATATTAATCTATTTTTCCGCTTATATAGATGTTCCAAAACAAAACGGACATAATACTTATGTTATATATCGACATTTTGATCTTTGCCAAGAAAATCTTTGACAGTCATAATAGACGCAGTGAAATTATTCACATGAATCTTGTCACATGCAACGACACAGCAAAAGTCTTGCGCAGTACATCAAAAAATATAAGCATCTTCACGTGCTAAATTCTTAATGTTTGGCACAGTATCGTATTGGTGATAAAAAATTATGCGTTAAATTTCTTAAAAATCAAAGCAGATTGAATATTTTGAAATAAGGCGTAATGGTAAGTGTGAATCGGTAATATTATATTACTTTTTTTACATCAGTTGCTAATCTCTGATTTATGCTGTAGATTCGAAATTATTCAATCTCGGGAACCTTCTCTTGCGGAACTTAGCTAAAATCAAAAACTTCTATATAATCTGTTTGTGTAGAAGTGGCTGGATCTTGTAAACATAATTTATTTCGTATTTGTAGAAAATGGAATCTCGTAATTAGAAATAGTGATAGAAAAAAAACAATTAGTATAGAAATTTGTAAAAAGTCTGAGAGAGCAAAAAAAACTTGATGTTGGAACTTGCATTAAATGGCCTAGGATCTGCGTACTCTCTCCCTCTTTGATAGCATCATATATTTCACTTACTTCTCTAGCATTTCTGGTATTTTCTGATAATTTAATAAAAGTTCGTTGCAAAAGTGATCAGCTCAAGATCAGCGTGACAAATTGACATGCGTACGTGATCATCAATTATCATATTTTTCTATGTGATAGCCTAGGTGAAAAATCGTGAAAATCGTGATCTATAATTCTGGCCAAATTACCATAATTCTGATTTGGTTAAGCAAAAAAAAGATTATCAAATTTCATGATTTCACGTGACTTATAATTGTCTAAATAGCCAATCAGATTTGAGTATCATAAAAATTCGTATAAACGCATTACCTTAATATTGTATAGACTCACTTAGTAAAATATATCTGATATGTCTAATAAAAAGTTTATAATTTATTTTTGGTTTAAGAATTCTCTCTCATTAAATAAAATGAGGATTAACAAAGATTGTAGAGAAAACTTGAATGATTATGGTAAGTATACATTGTAAATCTATGTTAATGCAATATGTCGTTATTAACTTTCATATTTTGAAGAATATTGGAAAGGTATCACCAAACATAACAAACCAAGTTTAAATGCAGTCAGGGAATATACCAAATATATCCAGATAATCATTACCTATTATGGTAACAAATTTGCCGATCAAAATATTCTAGACTTACTCTAATTGATTATATAGTCAAAAGCAATAATTTTTTTTATTTTATTTTTATTTTACAATAAACATGACTAAAAAATAAAATAAAAGAGGTTATAGTATATTTTCTGATATCCATTTTACTTGATAGTTTGGCCAATTTTGTCAAAAAAATTGATGTTAGATGGGAAATGCCTAAATAAAAAAACAATTCACTTCAAATTATCTGAATTAAATGCATGCTTTATTTCTTGTAATATATATATCAATTCATTTCGCTTTTTCGACTTTAATCTGAAGTATTTTTTTCGAGCATTTTCTCCAAGCTGTTCAAGAAGAGTTTCTATCTTTAACAAAATTTCAGGTTTGGTCATATTTTCTTCACATTCTTGAGCCTTTGCTTCTTGTTTTAAAATTGGTATTAGCCTAAATAAAGGAGGATTATTTTTGTTAATAAATAATTCGGTAATAAAACTTTGTCGAGCTTGCTTTGCTAAGTATGTGAAATTTTTTAAATTTTCATTCAATTCGTATTCTTCTAGGCTCCGATTCACGAATTCAAGACTTTGCAGATAAATTCAAAATCTCTGGCATTCCATAGTTGATTCTGGCTGAGTTCTTGGTCCAAAGGTTTGATAATTATTATATTCAATTAATTTAAGTAAGTTGCTAAAATTTATTATGAATTAAAGTTTGTTAAATGTGTATATTACTAATTAATTTAATTAAAATAAAAGTTTACCTTGAGAAACTTTTTACAATTACGTGTGACAATTTTCCAATAATGGAGTTGCAGGACAGAAGGTATTAAAGTTTTTAAAGTTTTGTTTATCTTCTTAATAATTGCATCTAATCCTTGATGCTGTTCGTAAATACCTGACCTAGAAACAATGCAGTTTTTCTTTATAACATCACATACTTCTGGACGAAGTCGCATTAATTGAACTTCATCAGCAACTTCTATTAGACGGTAGATAGAGTGCCGTCTTGCAGACCAAATAGGAGAAAACACTCTTCTAGCAGCACTCTTTAATAGAGGATCATTGGTTCTTATAGCCTTTCGATAATTGATTATTGCTTGAAGATAAATGAATGTCTATTAAAATAAAAATAATAAAAATTAATATTAATATCTATAAAAAGAATAAAAATTAGTAGTGACCTATTCATATTTTATCTGATAAAGCGAATCTTGCTGTTCTTTGACCCAAGCAAGATATCCTTCGACCGATAAGTCTGAATGGCTTTTTACATACGACTATACAAGTTCCATAGAAATAGCCTGATGATATATATTACAGATAGAATCCCAAGACTTGTGATAGTTTGCACATTTTTTAAAGTAGGAAAGCTGATTATCTGTTTGATAACCTTGGTATACTGCAAATCGTTTATATCAATTTCCCTAATATATAAAGTTAAGTTATTAAGTGAATAAATGCATTGAAGTGGTATAAGAGCGTTAAATAAAATTCTTTGTGCATTACGAAACAATAAATTTTCTGAATTGTAACTACCTACCAGTTTAACTTCACAAATGCTTGAAGCATATTCATTTCTTCATGCAGTTGTCCCGGTAAAAGTACTAGCCAAGGAAACTTTTTTTTCAATTTTATAGCATGATGGTATGGAACACCATCACAGACTACTGCCATCTACTTACAAGTGCCATCTCTAATACCTGTTATTGTCTCTATGTATAAAAGAACCTTTTCAATATTTGCAATAGAATTAGGGTTAATATTGATCGGATCAGGAACATAAATTTCAGAAATGTTAACTTCTTGATCAGTAACTCTTTGTTGAGTAACACTGATACTAAGAACACATGTAACACTTGATTTATCATTAATGTTAAAAGGTTTAAAAACAAACGGATTTTCGATTATGCTATGCTCAACTTCACCTACTTTTTCTTTTTGTATATCGGTTAATGTTGGCAATCACGTTTGATATGTTAGACATGTTTTTTTTCAATTTTTAATATTTCGTTGATGACAGCTAGGATACTCTTTCATGTTAGTAATGTTAATTCCTATAGATGTTGTAAGAGAATCGATAGTATTAATAGAGAATATTTTTTCTTTGGATAATAAATTAAGAATATCGGTAATGTAAACATATAATTCTTTATCAATGACTTCTTGTATTTGAGGATTGACATCGAAAATTTCTTCATATTGTAACTTATTAAGAGAATCATATGCCTAAGGTGAATCTATATGTTGCATTCTATTTTGCGACGCCATATTAAAATCAACGAAACTGGTAACGATATGGTAAACTACTGTATTAAACCCTCAGTCAATATAATTTTTTGTCCCTTTTGTTCGTTATCAAATGCAAGAAATAACAGCCCTTCGGGTAATGGTTCTTCATGCTTTGATAGTTCCTCACACCACTTTTGAAATTGATAATAACTTCCTGAATTTGTTATATGATTATCAATATTGATAACCATTTTTGATAATATAATTAAATATTTAATAGCGAAAAGGATAAGATGGATCTCTGAAACATATTTTTCATGTTGTACACCATATATCAAATCAACTGCAACAGCAGTTTTAAAAAGCTTTTCTTAGCTTAAAGTATCAGCGCCTTGAGTATTCTGAATCAAAGTTTCGATAAATTTGACAACAACCTGATTTCGTCTATTAAGCCATTCACGGGGATTATACTTTACAAGACTCTTCATAGAAAACCTAGTACTGTTTCATATCAATGATTCTACATCATTAAATAATCATTCATGTTCTGCATTCACTATTTCAATAATTACTTCAATACATTTTTGTTAATCAGAGAATCGCGAATTTTGCTGTTCAATAAAAATTTCATTCTTTTTACATTTTTCATTATATAAATTATAAATCTCGGCCATATCCTCATAAGCCTTTTACAATTATTTTTTTAATTTTTCTATTTTGACTTTATGATCTTCTAGATGCTG